TCTGCTGATTACTGGCTCTGGTTGCTCTTTTCCTCCGCAAACGCATTGTGCTCCTTGCAACCGGCTTCTCAGCAGATGGCGGGCGCCTGAGACATGCCCGTTCCGGCGACATCCTACTATCAAGACGCAAGTGTTACCGGCTCTGAGTTCCCCACGCACGAGGCGATCTTAGGCCAGAGCTCTGCGCACTCCTTGGCCACAGGGCCCTGGCACAGGCTGATGACCGAGAAACGCGTCAGCATCGTCGAAGTCAGAGAGACGACACTTTCCGATCGCTCGCTACTGAGAAAGTGCACGCAGCCTGGATAGCAGAGCCCTTCATCTCACCCTTGTCATTCACAATGACACCGGCGTTGTCCTCAAGTTTGCGAACAGGTTGGCTGTTGTTGCACCAGTGCCACCGGTCCAAGCGAAGAATGACAACAGCCTGTCATAAGGCATAAGGCAGACACACTTTGCTCCTGCTAGACACAATGTTGGACCCGGACCCCTGCATCACCATCCGGTGTGGATCAGGCTCTGGGGAACGTGTCTTACAATCAACCTACAGCTTACTCGACCCACCCACAGCCAGCACATGACTTGCCGAACTTTCCTTTGTTTGTCTAGATCCCAGGTAGCTTAAGTGCCACCTGACACGGGACTGAAGCTGGATCGTCGCATGACCCATCACTACTTGAAGGAGGTTGGCCCTGCCCGAGTTCTCGACTGCAGCACGACAACCGCAACCAGTCCTCGAAATAGACGTAAACACCTTCACGACGTCTCCAGGCCTTCTTCTGACGGATGACGACCTAATGCGGAAGTTACTCGCATGCATCGGGTCTCGCAAGCTGAGCTCTGCTTGCAACAAAAACGAGCCCCGGACGCCTTTGAGCACCTTCTTACGAAGCTCGGGCTTGCCTTTCTTGACACTGCACAGCACCTCGAGGCAGTCGGGTGTCAGATCCAACCTTCCATTCAAGCATGAAGCTGCGCACCAGATCACCCGGAGAGCAGTTCGGCAGCTTGTTCAAGCGACCACCGATTCCAATGACCTTGGCAATCGACAAGCACCACTCCGGTTAGAAATAATATCTCCCTCCATGCCTACCCAAAGCAAACCATGGCGAGCGCAGGACGGCAATGATGTACAGATTCTTGGCACCGCTGTTGTCAGCACAGTTCAACAGCGTGGCCACTTGGCAACCTTGGGCCATCCTGCGTCGGTGCTCCGTTCGCTCCAGACTACATGCCACAGCTTCAGCGCGAGGCCCAAAGAGAGACTGTTTATGAACGCAACTCTTGCATCTATAACATGAGAGCTTCGCGTCCTCATCTTGCATTGCTTGGCTGCACGTCCCTTCTTCATGATGGAGTCCTCTTTCCTGGAGGCTTGCAAACGACTCGGGACAGCGTCTCCGTTGAGGGTGTTTGGTTTAGCCATTCACGCTTAAACCCCTGTCATCTCTGGCTGGGCTTCCTCTCTGTGCTAAAGCAACGTTTGTAGACGAGCTGCTGCAGCGCGCAAGCGCTGTACAGAGCTGGCGACGGAGCACAAAACGCTGCGGACAAGATCCAGTCGTGTAGGAATGCATGCCGGTCATGTTCACGAACGTTGAAGCATTGCTTGCAGCAGCATGGCTGCGTGCTAGTTTTGTCCTTCGCGGCCGAACTGATGCAGGGCTCGGTCGAAGGACTCACCATTGAGTCTCACTGACATCACGTGCTTGCAGAACTAGATTCCACCAATGCTCGCACCCAAGAACGAGCAGTCATGTGACGGCGTTCATGCACCAACGACACACGCTGTGCATGAGAACTCGTCGATAAATCCAGTTGTCGCATCACACGCCGTCTTCGACGACAGCCTGAACGTGACCAGGTCCTTCGAGGCGGAAGCATTTTTGCACCTGCTCTTCTCCTTGCTCGTCCATCAGGCACTCCGCTTCGGATCAAAACAAGAACTCATCCGCAATATAGTCCGAGCTATGTCCAGAAGGTGGTGCTGATGCGGCTGCAGTCACCTCCCCTGTGACCCCGATCGCCTCCACAGCACAAGGAGCTTGCAATGACATGTTCCAGATATGCCACCCAAAATTATGCAACAACGTATCATCATCATTGCAGATATCCCCCTTGGAATACTGTCGACATCTGCTGTCTGTCCTGGCGGTCACATCCATCCAGCCATAGACTCAGCGACGACGACTCTTGGGCTCGGATATGGCCAGCTGCCTCTGTCCCAGCATAGCTATCCTGACCAGCACAACACTCCAAGTAGCATAGCATAGCAAGAATTTGCAGCAACGTAACAAGCTTTGAAATCGGCAAAATGTATCATACACCCTGTTGACCAGGGGCGGAGGGGACAGAATCAGACGCCAGGTTCATTCGCACGAAGAGTGCACCATGGCGGATCTCCTGACATTGGGGTGTCCCAAATAGACACACAGCTCTCATGCAACACAGCCTTTTGAGCATGCCAAAAACAATGTTTATACAAGAAAGCTGAGCTAACACGAACGGCTCCGTGGGAAAAGTTCGCTGGGAAGGTCGCAAAGAACCTCCCACCACCTGCGCACTGCAGTGAACCCATATCATGTCATGTCAATGCATGTGCAGCCGGTCACCTGCTGTGTGCATCTATACTGAGCCTACACTGTTCTGCACAAGCACAACACAGACCACATCATGCATCTCCACATTAGCAAAGCTCCAGTCCACTGCCAGACACACCAGTTGCATGAACCTCAACAGCACATTCCTCCAAAACTACTGCTGTTGCCTGTGGAACTCCTGTTCTCACGAGCTACATTGGGTTGTAAAATCGAGGCCTCGTGGCCACTTTCTACTTGAAAGCGGTGTCCATGCCAAGGACAGCGTATACACAAACCAACACCAGGCAGGTCTTCCATGTCACCTGCCGAATGCAACATGCTTCTTTTTCAGATGAGCACGACGCGAAACCTTCTGGCGGAAGGAGCAGAATGCAGTGCCACATGTTGAGTTGTGCCACCGCACGGTGCCTGATTCAAGCGGACCTCCTCGATGCCCACACCGCGCGTCCATCGCATACCTGAAGAATCGGCACACTTCGAGATCATCTTTGCAAAGGAAGGACCCAACATGCAAAACAATCAATCTCAGAGCAGCAAAAAATCACAATGCGGGAGTTGTTCGAACAACTGAAGCTTCGACTTCAATGCACACACAACACCGACAAATGGTGACAGATGTGCGTCTAGCGGCACGGTTGCGGTGCTGTCGGCAACCAGTAAGATGTGTCGCAGTGGTGAACCAAGCTTTATCACCTGCAGGTTGCGGCTACATATGTCTCGGAAACACAACACCAAAACTGCAACTTTTTGCTTCAACGTGCAAGACAAAGGTGCTCTTTCTTTTCGGTGAATGGCAAAATAAATGCACTTGGGCCTTCAAGCATTTGCTTGCAATCCACTGTACCATGTCCTCCGCAGACACTGCCAAAAGCCACTCTGCATCTGCATCCATCGCTGGGGTGGTTCAAGAATGCGTTTACGATTAATTGGGAAATTATGTGGACGAAAACGAATCACATGCAATGACGCCATTCTGTTCGTTAACAAAAAACTTGTGGAGGAATTTCCGCGAACAAGATGTTCGATATTGGGCTTTAAACACGAACCTATCTCAAGTGTACGTGCATGGACGCCTCAAGCCCATGGTTCCAAACGTTTGTTCAGCAGCTAAATTTGTGCATATGCACGTATCTTAACGCGTCTCTTCTCATGGAAGCTTGGTTGTTGACATGGCATTTGGTTGTTGCTGTGGGAACCCCCGAGCAAGTCTTTCAGAGTCTCTCAAGAGCACGACACATGATGTTCTATGCTAGAGCTTGCTTGACCTAAGAAGAAGAAAGACAAGAAGCAGTTGCGCTCTTCTTTTTTTCCGCGAGGGTTGCTGAAAAGGATGCTTTGCGGAGCAGGGCATTGCCTGCCAGAGAAAGGAGCTGTGGGCAAGCGATGCCATGCGACAGTCCCCCAAGGGCGTGGATGGAGGGTGGGTGTGAAAAAAGAGGTAACAGCGAGTTACCGGTGTTTGCGTGTTTTCATTACTTGCTTGAACCGGTGCGGCGCGGAGCACTTGTTCAAGACAAAGCTTAGCATGAAAACACTGTTGAACAGTGCACAAAGTAGCGAACCTGGGCGCAGCGAGGCGAAGCGCCAGATAATTATAGCAGAAAGCGGGCAGATGCTACCCTGAGCGGTGAGCCATCGCAAAGGTGCGTTGCGATGCATCCCGCCTGAGAAGAAGGCTTCCCAGATTGCGGCATCAGCGTGCTGATTTGAGCCGCGGGCGATGCGGTGCTCGAGGCCAAGATACCTGTGAAACTTAAGAGGCAAGGGGAGGGAGACATGGCGAGTGCCGTGCAGGGCCTGATGCAGCGCAGGCATGAACAACCTGCATACCAAGTGCGTTGGCTGTGCGCAGCAAGAAAGCTCATAAGCTGAAGCAATGTAGCATGGAAGGGCTCTTGACTATTTTTGCTGGGCAAAGCGATGCTCAGGAAAGAAACTCAACGATGCAATGCGGCTCAATACACGTGAGGGGGTCGAAGTGCAGTGGAGGTGCGATTTGACAAAAGATGTCAATCGCAAATATCCAGACCAAAGCTATGCGACCTTGAATGCAGTGCAGCGCCGTGCGCCTTTGCGCAGCGCGGGTGCGCAGTGCGTGCGCCCGCGAGAGGCAGCGCATTGCTCGCAAGGGAGCAGTGCGGCAAGGCAGGTAGGAGGCGATGCCAGATGTGTCCGTCGAAAACCAAGGCAGGGCGTCTGCTGGAGCAGGGCGATGCCTCGCGTTCGGGCCGTTGGTATCACCAAGATAAATGCCATGCGTTGCGGTGCGCAGCTGCATGCAGTGCCGCGCCCAGAACTTGAAAGTAAACAAACCTGCGATGACGATGCGGTGCCAATATTCGCAGAGCGCATTGCCACGTTGCAAAAATCCGGCGAAGAAGTCGGAGTCGAGCGGTGCCTTGCAGAGCCAGACACATGGCAGAAGTGCTAGGGGCAACGCGGCGCGATGCCAAACCAATCTCGCAAAGAATTAGCAATAATGACATGACGAACGCGCGCTATGAAAGACTAGAGCGATTGGTCTTGCTGTGCAGGGCTGTGCAAGCTCGGGTAAAGGCTCTGCAGCAGGGCCAGTCAATGCAACGAAGAACAAGCGAGCCAGCGAGGCGAGTTGAACAATGCTCTGCGATGCATGGGGAACAACTCCCAGAGTTGGGTCCCGCACAAAGATTCAGAGGCTCGGTCCGGGCAGTAAACCTGAGAAAAGCTTCTACAAGTTCAGCTCGGCTGTGCGGGGCTCGGCGCACTGTTGAGGAAGATGTCGGATCTGAAGGCGGTGCGTGGGCACATGTTGTTCATGCAAGTAGGTGCAGGGTTGATTGGTGCATTCGGGCCTCCAGCTGGACGATGCGTCGCTTGAGGCTGCACCTTGGCACAAAGGACATCAACGCGCTTGTGAAGCGTCGTGTTAGCTTCAGCATGTCCTCTGCAAGCTTGCGCAGAGAGCTGTGCATAAACTTTCCGCCGGGCGTGACCTCTCGGGGGTGGTAACCCTAAGAAACCTAAATTCTAAACCCTAAAGAAGCTCTAATCCCTAAATGTGAGAACCAACCACCTGAGAGGTCACGCCCGCCAACTTTCCGTCAGAGCTCGCGGCACGGTCGGCCATGGCTGGAAGC